AACATCATCTCTGGCAGTCAGTATTACCAATGTGTGAAAACATCAGAGTAGACACAACAGTGAAAACTTGTCCCTAATTCCTACTGAATTTTAATTTTAAAAAGAGCAGAACTTATTTCAAAGATGCAGCAGTGCTGTGAAGTGCTGAATAATGCATTGCAGAATATACTGAATAATTTGTGTAGATAGGCACATGGCAGAGCTTCAGAGGCAGGTAGGTAGGTACCCCATCAAACTGGTTCTTAGTGACTGTTTTCCATTTCTGCTTATTTTCCTTCATACAGGGACTATCAATCACACCTATTACATTAACCATTTTAAAATTTCAAACTTTGTTCAGTTAATTGAATTATCTTTGGTTATATGTCTGAAGAGCTTAGGGGTAGCTTGAGGGGGTATTTCTTTCTTTCACAACTGCTGTAAGATACTTAGAAGATGATCACTTCAGTTTACTCAAACATACTTCTAGTGCTTCAAACAAAAGTCAAATCAAGTGAGATATTTTTCTATTTCTCTTTCCTATTCAAACGTGTGATTTGTAACAGGTTAAACCATGGTTAATTTTAGATGAAGTAGTTAATTTTTCGCATATATGGAGTCTAAACTGCACTAGTTGTTTAAACGTGTCTTTTTAATTATGGGCATTCATAAAATAGAGTTGAAAATCTATTCAGGAAGCAGATGAACCTGAAAGGCAGGTTAAAAAATGGTTTGTAAACAAATACAAATATTCATGTAGCAAGTCTGAGAAAACAAGTCTTCAAAACAAATCTTCTAGAGTTTCCAAAAGTTTAGGTTTCTACAGAGATATTAAACTGGCTGCACTGTACATATGGACTATTTCCTATTTTCTCCGCATTTGTTAAAATGTCAGCTTTAATCCATATGCCTCAAAATTTGTCTCTGGAGGGTTAGCTGGTTGTGTGGTACTTGGTTTCTATCAACTGCAAAGAGAACAGACAAGAATGTGAGGAAGGTGTAAAAGTGCATTCTGGTTTGCTTTTTATTCAAAAGGACAGACACCTGACTGTGCTTAAAGCTTAATTTAGTCTGTGAAGTAACATTTTCTTTTCCAGGTAAAAGGCTGTTTGTGTCACAGTGGTATTAAGGAGAGTGTGTGAAGTGGATGAAATACACTGTTAAACTTCTCATCATAAGTTAGGATTCATGTGAGAAAAGGGGTTGAAAACCCCTGCAGTGAAAAGGAAACAACGTGGAATCCCTCTGTGCAGCTGACTTATTTTGGCAATTTTGGGGTGTTCTGCACAAGGGCTTGCAATAGAGACAGACTCACATGGAGACTGGGGAGCCGAGGGTCTCTTTTATTATATGTTACAGTTGCCTGTGTGCCCCATCCCTGGAGGGGTTCAAGGCCAGGCTGGATGGGGCTTGGAGCAACCTGGTCTAGTGGGAGGTCTCCCTGCCCATGGCAGGGGGTTGGAATTCTATGGTCTTTAAGGTCCCTTCAAACCCAAACCGTTCTATGATTCTATGTTTCTGCTCTTTGAAGTCTGTTTTTGAGCCATTGCATTGACATTCTTCTATTTATTCTCTAATTAATGATGGGTTTAGAGTTTGTCTCTTGTGTAGCTTTCAGAAAACAAAAATAGGAAAAAAAATAGGAAAAAAAAAGGTACAAAAACTTGATTTTGTTTAGGTTGCTTTGCTCCTTCTATTTCTAAGGATTTTTATCCTTGCAGTGTTGCAGATAATTCAATTTGATGAAGCTCAAAAGCTTTGTAAAATAATCTCTCTCTTATCATTGAGGTGGTCAGGGCAGAAGTGGAAAGCATCTACCACAGAGAGAGGCCAGGTTGAGACACGGGTTGTAGGTTTATAAATGCACTTTAACATGCACAGGCCAGTCTGTAAGAAGTACCCCATTGGAAATAAGAAGTACTTTAACAGAGAAAGTCATGTCATTTGCATACCAGGTATTAGACAAGTTGTAAGTATTGTCTTTTACAGCGTCTTGGTGCTTCACCATGGGCATAGCTAAGCTCTACAACAGATTTCCTGGAGAGACCACGTTATTGGAGGCTTTCAGAATTGAATTGAACAAGATCTTGAGCAGTATGATCAGATTCATTAATTTAGCCATGCTCTGAACAGGAGGTTGGACTAGATGACCTCTAGGGGCCCCTTCTAAGCTAAATTTTTCTGTCATTCTGTAATTGGTTGATAGTAGTTAAAAGGGGTAAGTAACTTTTGTTTTTCCATTAAAACAAAACAGCATATGCAACAAAATGATAAATAATGTCAGTCATATAAAGCCTTACTACTTAATAAAAAAAAAAAATTAATCATTGTCCCAGTCTCTGTATATAACAGAACACAACAAAGCCATATTCTAAATTAGATGGAGACTTTAAATGTTTTCTGAGCTTCTGTGATGTTTATGCAAAGTTGACAGTTTGGAAGAATTCCTTTTTAAACTGATTGGCAAAAGATTTGAAGTTCAGGATTAAGTTTTGTCCTTTCTTTTTAGGTACAGACATATCTAATAAGAACGAAACAACAAATGTAAGTGCAACCATTTTAATTTGTAAGCTTATAAGCAATATGTAATGAAAAATGACTGTCTTGTATTTAAATTAAACTGTTCTTGCCTTACGTGCTTCCATTTTATTTTGTCAGGAAGATGAAGCTGAGAAAGCAGAAATGCTTGTGCGTAAAAGGGGAAGAAAGCCCAGGCGTTCTCTGGTTCAGTCAGAGGAAACTGGTAAAAACATAAAACTGTGTTTTTCCTGACAGAATGAGAAGATACTACTGTGCCTTTCTGTTTACTAATAGCAACAAGATAAGCTTTATTCAATTTTCCTTTCTTGAGGAAAAATCATTGAGTTACAGCTAGTGTAAATATTATGTAAATATGTGTAAATTGCTGTAATCTCATGTCAGAATTGCTACATCCCAGATGCTTCTATAAAGCCTCATGAATTTTCTATGAATTCTGGCTATGAGCTGCATAAGTAAACGATGGTGAATGTGTTAGCAAGATTAAGTCAAACAAGTGTGAATTAAAAATGTTGAAGGATAAAGGAAATGGAAAATTACTTACTTAAAATGGGATTTGTGAATAGAATACCTTTTCTAAACTAAGTGTCCATATCCTTTTGGAGGGCTTTTGGAAAATTATAGCACATGTGTAAAATTTTACATGGACAGAAACACTGGAGCCAGAAAGAAAACGTCGGAAATTAACGTCTTCTGAAGACGAACTAAAAGAGCAGGAGGAAGGTGAAGAAGAAGATGGTGAGGAAGATGACGAAGCACATTCCGGGGCCACAACTAGATCAGCCACAAGATTAGAGGCTCAAAGGTAACTGTGTGTAGAGACACCAATAGCAGGGGTCGGGGGGAGGTTCTACACTGTTCTCAGTTGTTGTGGGGTTTGCTTGGGGTTTTTTGTTGATTGTGAGGGGTTCTGGTGTGTGTGGTTTTGTTGTTTTTATCTTATTTTATTTTTAAATTGATGAGAGGTTCCCAAATAATTTTGGTTCTAATTCTAGTACCACTCTTGTAGGGATAAAGAGTCAAAAGGGGAGGCAGGGAAGCTGTTAGGGTCTCAGAAGACATACTTGAGTATGTCAGAAGGTAAGAATTGCTCCTGTTGGCAGTCTTCATCCTGGTCATGGCTCAGGAGTTGGGTAAGTTGAATACCTGAACCTGCAGGTGATCTGCAAGCTCAGAAAGCAGTCGGATCACAGAAGACTGGTGTGGTAGCAGGAGTTCTGTTCTCAAGAAGCCATTCTTCATCTCCCTCAGCCTAGGTCTGCCTTTTTGTAGGCAAACTGAATTATAGCAGGGCTCGTCCTCTTGACTTTGTTATGGAAACAAAGAAAGATAGCAGCTTTGGGAAGTTTTAATTTATGTTGCTGCCTTTCAGAACAGAATTGGAGCCTGGGCTTTGGGTTTTTATGTTCATGGTGAGATTTCTGTAAATTCACTGGATTTACTTCATTCCTAAGGATATAATATTACACGTTAACCTTTGGGGCATATTGGAAACTCTGTTCACAGTTTGGTCTTGAATTCTTAATTTCAGAGCTGAATCAGAAAGCAATTATATAGTCTTTATTTAAATAGAAACTGTGAATGTTTACCACTACATTGTAATGAGCTTTTAGATACTAGTGCTTTCATTCTGATTGCTTGTGGAAACATCTGCTTTCTTATTTATGGATGTGTGTGTTTGTGTCTCAGCTTTTCGGTGCTGTCTTTCTAGCTCTGGCTGTAACAAAGCAGCGTTATCTTAAGGTGCTGCAAACAGCCTGCATTTTATAAGTATGATTTGGGACTAATTCTGTGGAAGGGGCTGCTGCTTCATCTCCAAAATTGTTGGTTTATCAGTTTTTTCTGACTTAGGTAACCTGTTTTCCAAACAGTTAAGTTGATCACCAGTAACCAGTTTCTCAATTTGCTGAACTGGTGGATACTGGAGCTAATATGAGTTCTTTACGCTGGATAAACAAATTCTCTTTTCTTTTACAGCCTGTTTGTCTTTGCTTTTTTTCCCTTCTGTTATTGCAGGCTATTTTTTAAACATGGACACTTACGTACCAGAATTAATGCAGATTTGCAACTAAGACTTTTATTTAGTTAAAGACTAAATGTAGTCAGTAAAGTGCCCTTTCTTTCGATTCTGCATTTGATATGAAAATACACAGCTTGGCCTTGCAGTTTGTGTCTCTAACCTTGCAAATGGGTGGGTTTTTTTTCACTGTTTCTTTTGGCAGCTTTGATTTACTTGTTGCAAATACTGTGCAGTCTTGATTTTCTGCACTTGGAATGCAAGAAGAAAGTGACTTGGTGAAAGTATTTTGTTATATATACATTCATCATTCTTTTGTATTACAGAAAGCAGCCCAGCAAGCCAACCACACGTGCAACTTCCAAAGGCAGTGAAAAAAAAAACCACTTCTTTTTTATTTCAGCTGCAGTTTCCTATCTTTGCAAGTAGAGGAAAAACGCCTCAAACAGGTAAGCAAATGATACCTGCTTTAACAAATAAAACAAAAAATGGAAGAAATATAAGAAGGTTTTCAAGAAAATCCCATGGGTCCTTCCTAAACATCATCTCTGGCAGTCAGTATTACCAATGTGTGAAAACATCAGAGTAGACACAACAGTGAAAACTTGTCCCTAATTCCTACTGAATTTTAATTTTAAAAAGAGCAGAACTTATTTCAAAGATGCAGCAGTGCTGTGAAGTGCTGAATAATGCATTGCAGAATATACTGAATAATTTGTGTAGATAGGCACATGGCAGAGCTTCAGAGGCAGGTAGGTAGGTACCCCATCAAACTGGTTCTTAGTGACTGTTTTCCATTTCTGCTTATTTTCCTTCATACAGGGACTATCAATCACACCTATTACATTAACCATTTTAAAATTTCAAACTTTGTTCAGTTAATTGAATTATCTTTGGTTATATGTCTGAAGAGCTTAGGGGTAGCTTGAGGGGGTATTTCTTTCTTTCACAACTGCTGTAAGATACTTAGAAGATGATCACTTCAGTTTACTCAAACATACTTCTAGTGCTTCAAACAAAAGTCAAATCAAGTGAGATATTTTTCTATTTCTCTTTCCTATTCAAACGTGTGATTTGTAACAGGTTAAACCATGGTTAATTTTAGATGAAGTAGTTAATTTTTCGCATATATGGAGTCTAAACTGCACTAGTTGTTTAAACGTGTCTTTTTAATTATGGGCATTCATAAAATAGAGTTGAAAATCTATTCAGGAAGCAGATGAACCTGAAAGGCAGGTTAAAAAATGGTTTGTAAACAAATACAAATATTCATGTAGCAAGTCTGAGAAAACAAGTCTTCAAAACAAATCTTCTAGAGTTTCCAAAAGTTTAGGTTTCTACAGAGATATTAAACTGGCTGCACTGTACATATGGACTATTTCCTATTTTCTCCGCATTTGTTAAAATGTCAGCTTTAATCCATATGCCTCAAAATTTGTCTCTGGAGGGTTAGCTGGTTGTGTGGTACTTGGTTTCTATCAACTGCAAAGAGAACAGACAAGAATGTGAGGAAGGTGTAAAAGTGCATTCTGGTTTGCTTTTTATTCAAAAGGACAGACACCTGACTGTGCTTAAAGCTTAATTTAGTCTGTGAAGTAACATTTTCTTTTCCAGGTAAAAGGCTGTTTGTGTCACAGTGGTATTAAGGAGAGTGTGTGAAGTGGATGAAATACACTGTTAAACTTCTCATCATAAGTTAGGATTCATGTGAGAAAAGGGGTTGAAAACCCCTGCAGTGAAAAGGAAACAACGTGGAATCCCTCTGTGCAGCTGACTTATTTTGGCAATTTTGGGGTGTTCTGCACAAGGGCTTGCAATAGAGACAGACTCACATGGAGACTGGGGAGCCGAGGGTCTCTTTTATTATATGTTACAGTTGCCTGTGTGCCCCATCCCTGGAGGGGTTCAAGGCCAGGCTGGATGGGGCTTGGAGCAACCTGGTCTAGTGGGAGGTCTCCCTGCCCATGGCAGGGGGTTGGAATTCTATGGTCTTTAAGGTCCCTTCAAACCCAAACCGTTCTATGATTCTATGTTTCTGCTCTTTGAAGTCTGTTTTTGAGCCATTGCATTGACATTCTTCTATTTATTCTCTAATTAATGATGGGTTTAGAGTTTGTCTCTTGTGTAGCTTTCAGAAAACAAAAATAGGAAAAAAAATAGGAAAAAAAAAGGTACAAAAACTTGATTTTGTTTAGGTTGCTTTGCTCCTTCTATTTCTAAGGATTTTTATCCTTGCAGTGTTGCAGATAATTCAATTTGATGAAGCTCAAAAGCTTTGTAAAATAATCTCTCTCTTATCATTGAGGTGGTCAGGGCAGAAGTGGAAAGCATCTACCACAGAGAGAGGCCAGGTTGAGACACGGGTTGTAGGTTTATAAATGCACTTTAACATGCACAGGCCAGTCTGTAAGAAGTACCCCATTGGAAATAAGAAGTACTTTAACAGAGAAAGTCATGTCATTTGCATACCAGGTATTAGACAAGTTGTAAGTATTGTCTTTTACAGCGTCTTGGTGCTTCACCATGGGCATAGCTAAGCTCTACAACAGATTTCCTGGAGAGACCACGTTATTGGAGGCTTTCAGAATTGAATTGAACAAGATCTTGAGCAGTATGATCAGATTCATTAATTTAGCCATGCTCTGAACAGGAGGTTGGACTAGATGACCTCTAGGGGCCCCTTCTAAGCTAAATTTTTCTGTCATTCTGTAATTGGTTGATAGTAGTTAAAAGGGGTAAGTAACTTTTGTTTTTCCATTAAAACAAAACAGCATATGCAACAAAATGATAAATAATGTCAGTCATATAAAGCCTTACTACTTAATAAAAAAAAAAAATTAATCATTGTCCCAGTCTCTGTATATAACAGAACACAACAAAGCCATATTCTAAATTAGATGGAGACTTTAAATGTTTTCTGAGCTTCTGTGATGTTTATGCAAAGTTGACAGTTTGGAAGAATTCCTTTTTAAACTGATTGGCAAAAGATTTGAAGTTCAGGATTAAGTTTTGTCCTTTCTTTTTAGGTACAGACATATCTAATAAGAACGAAACAACAAATGTAAGTGCAACCATTTTAATTTGTAAGCTTATAAGCAATATGTAATGAAAAATGACTGTCTTGTATTTAAATTAAACTGTTCTTGCCTTACGTGCTTCCATTTTATTTTGTCAGGAAGATGAAGCTGAGAAAGCAGAAATGCTTGTGCGTAAAAGGGGAAGAAAGCCCAGGCGTTCTCTGGTTCAGTCAGAGGAAACTGGTAAAAACATAAAACTGTGTTTTTCCTGACAGAATGAGAAGATACTACTGTGCCTTTCTGTTTACTAATAGCAACAAGATAAGCTTTATTCAATTTTCCTTTCTTGAGGAAAAATCATTGAGTTACAGCTAGTGTAAATATTATGTAAATATGTGTAAATTGCTGTAATCTCATGTCAGAATTGCTACATCCCAGATGCTTCTATAAAGCCTCATGAATTTTCTATGAATTCTGGCTATGAGCTGCATAAGTAAACGATGGTGAATGTGTTAGCAAGATTAAGTCAAACAAGTGTGAATTAAAAATGTTGAAGGATAAAGGAAATGGAAAATTACTTACTTAAAATGGGATTTGTGAATAGAATACCTTTTCTAAACTAAGTGTCCATATCCTTTTGGAGGGCTTTTGGAAAATTATAGCACATGTGTAAAATTTTACATGGACAGAAACACTGGAGCCAGAAAGAAAACGTCGGAAATTAACGTCTTCTGAAGACGAACTAAAAGAGCAGGAGGAAGGTGAAGAAGAAGATGGTGAGGAAGATGACGAAGCACATTCCGGGGCCACAACTAGATCAGCCACAAGATTAGAGGCTCAAAGGTAACTGTGTGTAGAGACACCAATAGCAGGGGTCGGGGGGAGGTTCTACACTGTTCTCAGTTGTTGTGGGGTTTGCTTGGGGTTTTTTGTTGATTGTGAGGGGTTCTGGTGTGTGTGGTTTTGTTGTTTTTATCTTATTTTATTTTTAAATTGATGAGAGGTTCCCAAATAATTTTGGTTCTAATTCTAGTACCACTCTTGTAGGGATAAAGAGTCAAAAGGGGAGGCAGGGAAGCTGTTAGGGTCTCAGAAGACATACTTGAGTATGTCAGAAGGTAAGAATTGCTCCTGTTGGCAGTCTTCATCCTGGTCATGGCTCAGGAGTTGGGTAAGTTGAATACCTGAACCTGCAGGTGATCTGCAAGCTCAGAAAGCAGTCGGATCACAGAAGACTGGTGTGGTAGCAGGAGTTCTGCTTTCAAGAAGCCATTCTTCATCTCCCTCAGCCTAGGTCTGCCTTTTTGTAGGCAGACTGAATTATAGCAGAGCTCGTCCTCTTGACTTTGTTATGGAAACAAAGAAAGATAGCAGCTTTGGGAAGTTTTAATTTATGTTGCTGCCTTTCAGAACAGAATTGGAGCCTGGGCTTTGGGTTTTTATGTTCATGGTGAGATTTCTGTAAATTCACTGGATTTACTTCATTCCTAAGGATATAATATTACACGTTAACCTTTGGGGCTTATTGGAAACTCTGGTCACAGTATGGTCTTGAATTCCTAATTTCAGAGCTGAATCAGAAAGCAATTATGTAGTCTTTATTTAAATAAAAACTGTGAATGTTTACCACTACATTGTAATAAGCTTTTAGATACTAGTGCTTTCATTCTGATTGCTTGTGGAAACATCTGCTTTCTTATTTATGGATGTGTGTGTTTGTGTCTCAGCTTTTCGGTGCTGTCTTTCTAGCTCTGGCTGTAACAAAGCAGCTTTATCCTAAGGTGCTGCAAACAGCCTGCATTTTATAAGTATGATTTGGGAATAATTCTGTGGAAGGGGCTGCTGCTTCATCTCCAAAATTGTTGGTTTATCAGTTTTTCTGACTTAGGTAACCTGTTTTCCAAACAGTTAAGTTGATCACTAGTAACCAGTTTCTCAATTTGCTGAACTGGTGGATACTGGAGCTAATATGAGTTCTTTACGCAGGATAAGCAAATTCTCTTTTCTTTTACAGCCTGTTTGCCTTTGCTTTTTTTTCCTACTGCTATTGCAAACTATCTTTTTTAAATATGGACACTTATCTACCAGAATTAATGCAGATTTGCAACTAAGACTTTTATTTAGTTAAAGACTAAATGTAGTCAGTAAAGTGCCCTTTCTTTCGATTCTGCATTTGATATGAAAATACACAGCTTGGCCTTGCAGTTTGTGTCTCTAACCTTGCAAATGGGTGGGTTTTTTTTCACTGTTTCTTTTGGCAGCTTTGATTTACTTGTTGCAAATACTGTGCAGTCTTGATTTTCTGCACTTGGAATGCAAGAAGAAAGTGACTTGGTGAAAGTATTTTGTTATATATACATTCATCATTCTTTTGTATTACAGAAAGCAGCCCAGCAAGCCAACCACACGTGCAACTTCCAAAGGCAGCAGTCCAAGTTCAGTTTCTCCTAGAAATCGACAGAACCTAGCAGCAAAAAAGAGATCGCCAAGCGATACAAAAGTTAATAAATCTCCTCCATTGACACAGTAAGTATTAAAGTTGAATCCACTTCTCTTATTTGTTTTGGAAGCTGCTACATTGATCCTTTCCTTATATGTAATATACTGCCTCAGAATCTGAATAGCAGTCTAGCTTTGCACTGTTCTGTTCTTCTGTGATATATGAAAGCTTTTAAAGGATTTACTTCTGTTTACGTTTTCTCTTTTTCTTCATTTCTTTATCATTTTGAAGACTAGATATTTTTTCTTTCCATCCTCAGAAACCTCTTGGGAGAATCCAAAAAATGCTGTTATACAGCTCAAGTTAAAATACTGTGACTCTTACCTGAATGAGGGGAAGAGCAGCTGTAGTTCATGTTAAAGCAGCATGATGACATGATTCTGACACTTCAAAGATTTTTCTAACATCAGCTGATACAGGAGGAGAAATTCTGAGTCCTTATGTCGAGCTTTGAAAATATTTCCCTTTCCTTGCTTCCCTGCTACACATTTTAAAGTTGAGATGACAGTAAAATCTCAAGGGAGTAATAAGTGTGATGAACAGTTGCTTATTCATCTCACACTTTGCCTGTAAAATGGGTTCTGGGCCAAATGCATTTAGTTGTCATCGGCTCTGAAATGCGGCAGTGTCTTCAAACTGAACCCCGGGAAGGTGTGTATCCTGTACTAATCAGCTGCCTGTTCACCTCATGTTAATTACTCTGCATGGCTGTGAATGGCCAAGAGTTCAAGCCACACTTATGATTGGTTGCAGCTGAAACGTGGTGGGCTCAAATATGGATGCTCAGAGATAAGGGTACGTGATGTCTGCCCTTACTCCCTCGTGTGTGTGTGAGACGATTGCTCCTCTTCTGTCTCTGTGAGGCAGAGTACATGTGGTTTGTTATATTCTGTTACAATCCACAAGGCCTTACAAAAGAAAGAGGAGGAAGGAGGAGAGCTCTAGTCCCAAATTCTGCGTCTGGAGCAGTCTCCAACACGCAGGATTAGTACAGAGGTGTGATGGAGTGCAAGGTCTGCCTGTGCTCTGTGCTGGCATATAGTGCTTTAGTAGTGAGCTTTTAAATAATATATCTCTCTATTTCATCAGAGATGGGCAATTCCATCCTTTGGATGGAATCCTCAGGGTTGTGACTGGACCACCCTTTTTGTTTTACAGCTCCTACCGTTGTTAAAATAATTATTAATTATGCTTTTCAGGTTGAAGGTGCAGTGTACCAAGCGCAAAAGGGAAGACAGCCCGACGACGGTGGTACGGAGGAAAGGCCAGCAGAAACCAGAGGAGACACCAGTAAAGAAAGCAAAACGATAATCTTTACCAGCTAGTACTGTTCATGGAAGAGTCAAAAGAAAAAAAACAACATCTGTGCTTCTATTTTTTTTAAAGCAAAGGGATTTGCACGTGCTTGTTTCAGAGGTCTAAGTTAATCAATGCAGTACTTTTAAGTTACATTTTAAACAGCTTTATAAACTATTGTTTATACAGAATATTATGTACATTTATTTCAGATGAAAAAAAATAAGTTTACTTTGTATCTGAATGAAAAACAAAGTAGTTATATATTTTATCACTGACTTGGAAAGTTGGGGTTTCCCAATGTGACATGCTAATGCAGATGCTTCCAACCCATGAGGCACCCCTGGGCCTACTAATACACTTTGTATATAAACTTGTAAAAATAGGTTGTATTTTACTCCGTGTATGAATCTAATCGACGATGGACATTTTATTTATTATATGGAAAGCATTGGTCTGTAAACTTTAGTATATACCTTAGGTTTTTTTAATTATATATTTTACATTCTATGCAGATGTCAGTAGGAAACTTCCCCTCCGCTCCCCCAGGGCTGTCAAAAACCTGAAGTTCTCTCAAACACGCTCAGACAGTTGGTAAAGTATTTTCCTCGCATGCGTTAAAAGTAGTTTAGGTTAGTGAAAGGGACTCGGCTCCTTCCTGTTCACACTTGTGGCGAAGTATAAAATTTAAAATGTAATCTTACTAGATTATATTTTCACTTGTGAATTTACTACCAACCTCAAGAAGTAAATAGTATTAGGTTAGATTTATTCACAGTCAGCCAACACTACCCTGAAACGGAACAGTTTTATTTTGCAACTAAACCACCTGTTCTTTCAGTATTTGTCTTTTTCAACAAAGAGGGACCCATTGAAAGCAAACGTCACTTCTCCTAACTATAGAGCTTCAGCATTTTATGTTACATTTTATACACAGGTATTAAAAACAGAACCTGGTATTATTGCCAGAATCTTTTTTTAATGTATATTAACTCTGGTAAGAGCAAATGTTCAAGTGAAGTTGTATATAAAGTTAAACTTTTCTTATGATCAAATGTGTCTCTTGTTATGATGTGATGAGTTGCCAAACAATCTGAGATTATTTTAAGTGTTTTGTTGATATTCTGGTTTTTAATTAAAAAGGATTGGGGGGGGGAATTTTACTTTAATTTTTTTTCTTTTTTTCCTCTCTTTCTTTTGTGAGTTTTTTTTGAACTTGTTGTAAGGCAGATGTTTCGTCAGATATTCTGCTTGGTTTCTTACTGAGATTTTTATATAAAAATTATAAAATGTTTGCCAAAAATCTGAGTTGCAATATTTTTATTATCCTTTAGTTGTATTGCTTTGGAACTTGTTTTTACAAATGTGTTTGGTTGGACCCGTATCTATAAGCTTTACCTGATGAGTGTCTTTAAATGTTTACAGGTGCTTATATTTTAGGTATATGAGCAGTGGGGGAAGGACCTGACTGTTGACCAGGCTTAGTGTACTTTAGAAGCAGGTGCAGGCATAATTTTTTTCCTAAGCAAACTTGAGTCTAAAAAATGAAGAAAACCTCTTTGCTCTGAAAATTAATTCCTTTTGATTTCTCCCTTAACTCTGTTGCCATACTAATACCTACCTTGTTAACAAATTGCTGATATATACCTGTATATTACCAACACTAGTGTTTATGCACTTCTTCATATGCAGTTGTAGGATAAGTTGAATCTCCTCCTTTTGGTTTTCCTCCTTTTGGTT